TTTTCACTTTTGTCTATCCAAATAAAACTAATATCAACATTTTCCTTCCCTTCACTTCCCCTCTCTTTCCTTCCCCTCCCCTTCCCTTCCTTTCCTTACTAATTTTTATCTGAACATAGGCTTAAAGGGTTGATGCATTAATGACTTGGGCTCTTTAGCTTTAACAGCGCCAGACTAACCAATTACATGCCTTTCTTTACAAAACACAAGCTATTGGTAACCCTTTTATTTCAGGAAAAAAAAATGGTAGTCAACTCCTCTTTTGTATCTTTAATCATATTCTTAGCTTGCTAGGATGTCCCAAGTTTAATTGTTAATAAATGAAACTAAAAAGATATGGAATTATATTTTGATGCTGGCATTACGACTACCAATTAAACCATGAAAGCCACATGACAGGGCGAGGGGAATTACTTACTTTAGTGTAATGTGTTGCACACGCGGGACATGGGGCTTGAAGACCAACGTATGCATGTGGTTTGCATGATATTGTGTTATAATATTTCACTGGGAAGACTTCTGCATATAGAAATGTTAAATTAGTAGAGGCTTGTACCACTTCAACTTCGTTAAAGTATATAAATCATCAACAATTCTGCTCACAAGTAAGTGTTTCCTCCGTTATCATCTCCATGTTAAAATACATTCTTTAATTTGGTACATTAATTAATATGTTCTTGCATTACATAATTTGTTTACACAACTATGGTTAAATTTATATTCATCTATCAACAGAGCCAATATTTTTTCCCTGTTTTGCGTTCTGCAGGTAATATGTCTTTTAGATTCTTTTTCTTTTCCAATTATCTTCCTAAATGATATTTGGACATGTTAGACAATTGAACATGGAATGAAAACAATACCCCATCGGTTAAAGATAACATGATTATATTCTATTATAATGATAGTCAACTACATAGCAAAATAAATATATTTAAGTTATTTTCTTATGACAAGAGAAACTACACTTGATGTTAGCCCAAAGGCCATGAAAGGTATATATCTAGTTATGTATGATCATATCTACAGCCGTGTATTATAAATTTTTAATCCCAATATCCATGCTCCCTATTTCTACATTTCCAGTTTTTGCCAAGTATATGCATCAGAAAATGTTCTCTATTTCCAGTTGCCAGTGCCTTCGCTCTTCACACAGATCAAAAGTGGAGCCTTCCAGAAAATGTTCTCTGGACTAGTTGAAGAACTCTGGATGAAATGGGAGCTCCCAGGAATGGTTGAATTCAGCCTGCTTCTCCAATTTTGTTCTTGTTTACTTTGGCAATCGTCAGAGATTCAAAGGCAAATATTCTCCTTACGTTTCCACGATTGTTGGGTCCACTTACTTGTTAACAGATTGGGTAGCCACTGTTGCCTTAAGCGCCTACTCAAGGCCAAAAAGCAGGAGCTCAACAGCGAACTAGTTGTGTTTTGGGCA